GGTGGAACCGACCTTCGAATCTCTTCACCCAACACTTATACTCGAAATGGAAGTAATCCCAACAATTATTGTAATATGACTTTTCAAAACGAAGGAAAAGTTGTTGGTTGACCTCGTTGTCGCAACTCGGTCTTGTTGTCAAGGCGACTTTGTAGAACGCACCCAGTCCGAAGTCGTCTGCCTTAGTAGTTGTCATGATTCCCAGCATCAGACAATGGACTTGGTACATTCTCAAACGTTTCTAGTCGGCATCATCAGTGAGTTTTGCCATTCGCCGCACCAAGCTACGAACTCGTCAAAGAGACAAGTGAAGTCAATCCCTCGACGAACGTTCTGCCGAAAACGGTTACACTATCACTCTCTTTCTGTCCCGGTCTATCTATCTACTCTTTACCCCCTCATCCAACTCCCGCCCTATCACAACTTTTCACTTGTTTGCATTCCACTCGTCAGAATGTGTGCCCACGAGATCAACCCACTTCTATAAATCGAAAGGAGAGTGCGACCATAACAGAGGCCACAACATCTTGATCTTCATATATTCAATGAAGGAAAAGTTGGTTGAAAGGAATTTGTGAATTGGCCTCAGCGGAAAATGAAGGATCTTATGGAAGTAAAGACTGTTGAACTGTGCAAATACGTCCTCGGTTCACCGCCTGTGATACCGATGAATCCATGCCAAGCTTTCGTTGGTCATCTGAAAGACATCGTCGGAGCAAGCAAACATAATCTTCAACAAAACGGACCGTTGTCTGCTGACGTATGTAAACAATACCTCGGCTCACCATCTTAATTGTTGAGCTTACTTCCATTTCGAGTAAAAGTGTTTGGTGAAGAGACTTGAATGTCGATTCCACCAGAAGACGATGGAGTCCTCTTGACCTGCTGTCTATTGGCCTAACTGGACATTTTTGTTGGCGCTGTTTCCGAGGTAATTTCCTTAGATTCCGGTCAAAAGGTGCTAAGCTTTCGTCCGTCATACGACGAATATCATCAGAACAAAAGAGAGCATCAATAGAGCCTTTGCAGGCACTTTTGTCGAATGAGACGACAAGTCTCTCCAACATAAAAGCGACCACAAGAACACATTCTTTGGTGGCAACCTGATCTGGATAATGGGTCAACTTTCTCTTTT